GCAATTGCGTTCTCTTCGCTGATGATGTAAAGCTGTTCAATACCACAGACAATACTGCTACCCTACAAAAAGATCTTGACTATGTATCAGAGTGGTCAAACAAATGGCAACTTCAAATCTCAACAAATAAATGCTCTGTCTTACATATTGGCAAAAAAAATCAGAAAATAAAATACAAGCTGAATAGTCAAGATCTTGTTGATGACTCAAGCTATGTAAAGGACCTTGGAATACTCACCTCTAATGATCTAAGTGCTAGAGCCCACTGCAACTACATAGCCAAAAAGGCATTAAGAGTTGTTAACCTAATCCTACGTAGCTTTTTCTCTGGTAATATCACACTACTAACCAGAGCATACAAAACATTTGCTAGACCAATACTCGAATACAGTTCATCAGTCTGGAACCCACACTACGTATCTGATATTAGCACAATTGAGAAAGTCCAGAAATATTTCACAAGAAGAGTTCTCCACTCCTCTACTCGTTGTAGAATACCTTATGCCACCAGACTTGAAATTCTAGAACTTGAAAACCTTGAATTACGCCGTCTTCGGTCTGACTTAAGCATGGTATATAAAATCATACATTGCAATGTCCTACCTGTCAATGAATACTTCAGCTTCAACCATAACAACACAAGAGCACACAATAGATACAAACTCAAAGTAAACCGCACCAAACTTGATTGCAGGAAATACGACTTCAGCAATAGAGTGGTCAATGTCTGGAATACTCTACCCGACTCTGTAGTTTCTTCCCCAAACCCCAAAAACTTTAACCTTAGACTGTCTACTATTGACCTCACCCCTTTCCTAAGAGGTCTGTAGGGGGCGTGCATAAGCGCACCAACGTGCCTACCGTCCCTGTCCTATTGTTTCTCCTATTCTTTTATTTTTCTTATATGTACCCATTTCATGTATTCACAACTATGTATACATTTATACTTATTATCTTGTAAACAATTGGCAAATCAAATAAATAAAATAAATAAATAAATAAATAAATAAAT